TCTCTAGGTATACTGGGGTTAGTGTAGTTCTCTAGGTATACTGGGGTTAGTGTAGTTCTCTAGGTATACTGGGGTTAGTGTAGTTCTCTAGGTATACCGAGGTTAGTGTAGTTCTCTAGGTATACTGGGGTTAGTGTAGTTCTCTAGCCTTCTGTCAGACACTGCCAGTGTTACTAGCCTGACTGGTTCTGGATTCAACAACACTGCCAGTGTTACGACCCTATTCTGACTGGTTCTGGATTCAACAACACTGCCAGTGTTACGACCCTATTCTGACTGGTTCTGGATTCAACAACACTGCCAGTGTTACGACCCTATTCTGACTGGTTCTGGATTCAACAACACTGCTCCATCTCTCCATCTCTCTGTCTCTGTCTCTCTGTGTGTCTGATAGATGATGTAATCTGATGTGTGTGGGAACAATAGCTCTGATTTGATTATATCACTAACCTGTCTGATCTACTGATGGTTGCAGTGAGCCCTGATTATATCACTAACCTGTCTGATCTACTGATGGTTGCAGTGAGCCCTGATTATATCACTAACCTGTCTGATCTACTGATGGTTGCAGTGAGCTCTGATTATATCACTAACCTGTCTGATCTACTGATGGTTGCAGTGAGCTCTGATTATATCACTAACCTGTCTGATCTACTGATGGTTGCAGTGAGCCCTGATTTTGATTATATCACTAACCTGTCTGATCTACTGATGGTTGCAGTGAGCCCTGATTATATCACTAACCTGTCTGATCTACTGATGGTTGCAGTGAGCCCTGATTTTGATTATATCACTAACCTAACAACCTAACTCGCCGGTGGTAACAAATCCTCATTTTTTCTCTCTCTGTCTTCCCTCTCTGCTCCATGCCTCACCATCTGTCCTCCTTCCTTTCCTCCACCCGATCCATCTGTCCTCCTTCCTTTCCTCCACCCGATCCATCTGTCCTCCTTCCTTTCCTCCACCCGATCCATCTGTCCTCCTTCCTTTCCTCCACCCGATCCATCTGTCCTCCTTCCTTTCCTCCACCCGATCCATCACTCCTTTAACGCATCCTGTCCATGTCTAACCCCTGATTTGGTGGTAACCGTGTGACAGTAGCCATGCCTGTGTGTCCTCGCTCAGTGTCCTGCCACCCTATGGGCTCTATGTCCTTCAAGTCCATCCAATCCCAGCCTCTGACCGTCTGCCGCAGCCAAGAGCCACGCCGCCTCCGGGACAACACCAACCGCAGGAGGACCACCGGCAACGCACAGGTAAGATATCACATGACATCATCGTCAAACCACGCCGTTAACAAATGGCATCATCAAACCGCACCGGTAGGACTTGATGTGTGCATCGGTGAAAACCAGGTCAGTCGGACACAATAGATCAGTCAGACTGTGTGTGTGTGTGTGTGTGTGTGTGTGTGTGTGTGTGTGTGTGTGTGTGTGTGTGTGTGTGTGTGTGTCTGTGCTCTGCACCCATCTGTCTGTTTGTCTGTGGTGGATTATGACATTAAAGGTGCACTATGCAGAAATCGCTCCACCATTTCCTGGTTGCTAAAATTCTAATAGTTTGCCTAATTTCAGTTAATGTGACAAAACAAGAAAGTATATTGTAGAGAATTATTGTACCATCTAAACCGCTGAGAAATATATTTTCCATAACCAAAAATATTGTGTTTTGAAGTTGGTGTACAAAACCAAAATGTAAAAGACGCAAAAACAAAACGTACATTTACATTATTTAGCAGACGCTCTTATCCAGAGCGACTTACAAATTGGTGCATTTCTTTTTATTTTTTTACATTTTTAGTCATTTAGCAGACGCTCTTATCCAGAGCGACTTACAGTTAGTGCATACATTATTGTATCGAACCCACAACCCTGGCGTTGCAAACGCCATGCTCTACCAACTGAGCTACATCCCCTGCCGGCCATTCCCTCCCCTACCCTGGGACAATTGTGCGCCGCCCCATGGGTCTCCCGGTCGCGGCCGGCTACGACAGAGCCTGGATTCGAACCAGGATCTCTAGTGGCACAGCTAGCACTGCGATGCAGTGCCTTAGACCACTGCGCCACTCGGGGCCTATTCACCTTATGATAGCAAGTGACTTAAGGACGTGAAGCATAGAAATAGCGCACATAGAACATATATACAACTTCTTAGACTTGCGTTCAATGAGAGTGACAGATCTATAACTCATAGTTCTATGCAAATTTGGTCAGTTCTCCCAAAAAGTTACATATTGCAGCTTTTTAAAGACTTAAAGGCCCAGGGCAGTCAAAAACTTGATCTTGCCTGAAATTTCAGCCTGTTTTGATGGGATGGAGTTTTGGCCTTCCATGGTGACATCACAATGCGGTAAATTAGTTAATAGCCCAATAAGAAATACAGTTCCAAACCTCTCAGCCAATAACAGCTAGTTTTCAGTATTTCCGCTCCCCACTCAGACCACTTGAGAAATTGCTCTTTGCTAAGAAGCTATTTTTAGTTTCATTTTGACCACTTTAGTTGAAAACAATCACAGTAAGGTACTTAATTGTTAACCAGAAATGATTTTATATTGAGATAAAAACGTCTGCTTTGGACCTTTTTTAAAGACCACAACCACTGCACTTTATCACACACACACTGTCAATACGCTGCCTTCAGTCAGAATATGGAAATAATGGCTATCAGAGGAAGAGGAGGCAGTTCCACATTCATTGAAGATAGATGAAACTATCTACTGTATCTGACTGGATTCTGTCTGCCAGCATAACGTGTGTGCATGTCTCTCTCTGCGTGCATGTGTCTCTCTGCGTGCATGTGTCTCTCTGCGTGCATGTGTCTCTCTGCGTGCATGTGTCTCTCTGCGTGCATGTCTCTCTCTGCGTGCATGTGTCTCTCTGCGTGCATGTGTCTCTCTGCGTGCATGTGTCTCTCTGCGTGCATGTGTCTCTCTGCGTGCATGTGTCTCTCTGCGTGCATGTGTCTCTCTGCGTGCATGTGTCTCTCTGCGTGCATGTGTCTCTCTGCGTGCATGTGTCTCTCTGCGTGCATGTGTCTCTCTGCGTGCATGTGTCTAAGGATAAGCATAAGGACTTTGTCAGGAAGTCTTGGAGCAACCTCTCCCTGCCTCTGACCACACCCCCTCTGACCACGCCCACTGCCAAGAGGTCCCGGTCACCAGGGAAACAGAGTAGAGTGACAGCGCCCTCACCTGGCAGGTTGGTAGAATAGCAGCTCATAGAGATCCTAGAATTAGACACTTTCTAAAATATGACTCTGTCATTCTATGGACTGTCTCCTGGACTACCTCACCTAGTGGAAGGAACTGTTACAGCAATGTTAGTGGGTCATAACCTGTTACAGCAATGTTAGTGGGTCATAACCTGTTACAGCAATGTTAGTGGGTCATAACCTGTTACAGCAATGTTAGTGGGTCATAACCTGTTACAGCAATGTTAGTGGGTCATAACCTGTTACAGCAATGTTAGTGGGTCATAACCTTTTACAGCAATGTTAGGGGTCATAACCTGTTACAGCAATGTTAGTGGGTCATAACCTGTTACAGCAATGTTAGTGGGTCATAACCTGTTACAGCAATGTTAGTGGGTCATAACCTAACTGTTACAGCAATGTTAGTGGGTCATAACCTAACTGTTACAGCAATGTTAGTGGGTCATAACCTGTTACAGCAATGTTAGTGGGTCATAACCTGTTACTGCAATGTTAGTGGGTCATAACCTAACTGTTACAGCAATGTTAGTGGGTCATGACCTAACTGGTACAGCAATGTTAGTGGGTCATAACCTGTTACAGCAATGTTAGTGGGTCATAACCTGTTACTGCAATGTTAGTGGGTCATAACCTAACTGTTACAGCAATGTTAGTGGGTCATAACCTAACTGTTACAGCAATGTTAGTGGGTCATAACCTGTTACAGCAATGTTAGTGGGTCATAACCTGTTACTGCAATGTTAGTGGGTCATAACCTAACTGTTACAGCAATGTTAGTGGGTCATGACCTGTTACAGCAATGTTAGTGGGTCATGACCTGTTACAGCAATGTTAGTGGGTCATAACCTGTTACAGCAATGTTAGTGGGTCATAACCTGTTACAGCAATGTTAGTGGGTCATAACCTGTTACAGCAATGTTAGTGGGTCATAACCTGTTACAGCAATGTTAGTGGGTCATAACCTAACTGTTACAGCAATGTTAGTGGGTCATAACCTGTTACAGCAATGTTAGTGGGTCATAACCTGTTACAGCAATGTTAGTGGGTCATAACCTAACTGTTACAGCAATGTTAGTGGGTCATAACCTAACTGTTACAGCAATGTTAGTGGGTCATAACCTAACTGTTACAGCAATGTTAGTGGGTCATAACCTGTTACAGCAATGTTAGTGGGTCATAACCTGTTACAGCAATGTTAGTGGGTCATAACCTGTTACAGCAATGTTAGTGGGTCATAACCTGTTACAGCAATGTTAGTGGGTCATAACAACTGTTACAGCAATGTTAGTGGGTCCATAACCTAACTGGTACAGCAATGTTAGTGGGGTCATAACCTGTTACAGCAATGTTAGTGGGTCATAACCTGTTACAAGCAATGTTAGTGGGTCATAACCTGTTACAGCAATGTTAGTGGGTCATAACCTGTTACAGCAATGTTAGTGGGTCATAACCTGTTACAGCAATGTTAGTGGGTCATAACCTGTTACAGCAATGTTAGTGGGTCATAACCTAACTGTTACAGCAATGTTAGTGGGTCATAACCTAACTGTTACAGCAATGTTAGTGGGTCATGACCTGTTACAGCAATGTTAGTGGGTCATAACCTGTTACAGCAATGTTAGTGGGTCATAACCTAACTGTTACAGCAATGTTAGTGGGTCATGACCTGTTACAGCAATGTTAGTGGGTCATAACCTGTTACAGCAATGTTAGTGGGTCATAACCTAAAGGCTTCTAGGTAAAGTGGTGCACTATAAAGGGAATAAGGTGGTATTTCAGAATAGACAAACACTCTCTACTCTCTGCCCCTTTGTTATCCCTCCCCCCCACCCCTCCAGACCCCCCCAGAAGCTGTCCCTCCCTCCCCCCCACCCTTCCAGACCCCCCCAGAAGCCTTCCCCTCGCCCCCCCACCCCTAAGCAGCTGCGGTCTCCCAGTGGAGAGGACGTGGGGAACCTCAGGCCCAGTAGGACGGTGCCAGAGAGCCTGTCTCTGATTGGATCACAGGCAGGAGGACCTGAGGGAGACCAGGGGGCTATGACCCCCACGCCCTCCCAGCCCCGCCCCCAGAGCCTGGGCCAACCCAAAGCCAGCCCCAGCACAGACACTAAAGACACACTGTCAGCAGTCTGCGGTGAGTTGAGGCTACATACAGCAGCAGAGGAGTATTTCTGTCTATAATAAAGCCATATTCTGATTGGCTGGGCCTGGTTCCCCAGTGGCTGGGCCTGGTTCCCCAGTGGCTGGGCCTGGTTCCCCAGTGGCTGGGCCTGGTTCCCCAGTGGCTGGGCCTGGTTCCCCAGTGGCTGGGCCTGGTTCCCCAGTGGCTGGGCCTGGTTCCCCAGTGGGTGGGCCCGGTTCCCCAGTGGCTGGGCCTCTGTCCTCCCAGGCCCACCCATGGCTGCCTCCTTGCCCAGTCATGTTAAATCCATAGATTAGGGCCTAATGAATTCATTTCAATTGATTGATTCCCTTACATGAACTGTAAGTCAGTAAAATCTTTGAAATTGTTGCGTTTTGCGTTTATATTGTTGTTCAGTAATACATACACACACACACACACACACACACACTCGCCAGCTAGCGATGAGTGGATGTTACTCAGCAGCATTAGTGTTAAGAGCCGTTCTGTTACTACGGCTAATGGACGCTTCATCCTTCTGCTGGATTCTAGCTGCTTTGTTGGAAATTCCACATCACTACATTGTACAGCCACATGACGTGTGTGTGTGTGTGTGTGTGTGTGTGTGTGTGTGTGTGTGTGTGTGTAGAGTACGTGGGCAGTCCCCCAGCCCATAAGCCTACAGCAGGCACCACAGACCCAGAGGAGGCCACACGGATCCTGGCAGAGAAACGTAGACAAGCCCGGGAACAGAGGGAGAGGGAGGAGGAGAGGAGAGGCAAACAGGAGGAAGCAGAGAGGTACAACTGTGTGTGTGTACTTTGTGTACTTTGTGTGTGTGTGTGTACTTACTGTGTGTGTCCAGGTGTGGTCAGGAGGAGATGGCTCAGCGTAAGGCTGAGGAGAGACAGAGGAGAGAGGAGGAGGAGGAGAGAGCCCAGCAGGAGAGAGACGAGGAGAGAGCCCAGCAGGAGAGAGACGAGGAGGAGAGAGCCCAGCAGGAGAGAGACGAGGAGAGAGCCCAGCAGGAGAGAGACGAGGAGGAGAGAGCCCAGCAGAAACAGGTCAGACAGATGGTAACACACACTGTACTCTGCCTCTCTGGCAGTAAGGTCAGGTGGGGAGAGAGGTAAAGCCCCCGGGAGTAGAGGTTCCCGCCCGGGAGTTTGAGGGGAAGGCCGGGGAGTAGAGGGATGCCGCAGTAGAGATATGGTTTATATAATGAATTTTTTAAAACCAAAATTTTTTATCCTTTTTTCCCCCCTTTCCCTTAAAATTTTCCCCCCTTTTAACTATGTAATATGTCTTTTTTCCCTCTCCCGTATTTCTCTCTCTGTCTCTTTCTTTTTCTCTCTCTTTTTCTCTTCTTTTTCCTTCTCTCTATGTATCGCTTCCTCCCTTTTTTCTTTTCTGATCTTTGGTCTATCTCCTATCTTTCTCCCCGTGTTCTCTTTTCTCTCTCTCTCTCTTTTCCCCTTGGGTTTTTCCCTGTCTCGTCTCTGTCTCTTGGGTTCTCTCTTTTCTCTCTTTTCTTCCCCCTTTTCTTTCCTCTTTTTCTCTCTTTCTGTTTTCTATTTATATCTCTCTCTTTCTCTCTATCTGGGTTTGATCTATTTTCTCTATTCCCCTCTCTCTCTCTCTCTCTTTTCTGTCTCCTTCTGTCCCCTTTTCCGGGATCTCTCTCTCTTCTCTCTCCGCTCCCCGCTCCCCGCCTTTTCGGGCCTCTCTCTCCTTTCTGTTGCTCTTGTCTCTGTTTTCTGTCTCTTCTCTCTCTGTCTCTGCTCTGCTCTCGGGGGGTCTCCTCTGGCCCCTCCCCCTCGCTCTTGGGCCTCCTCTGTCTTCTCTGTTGTCTCCCGGGTTTTGGGTTTGTCCGGCTTGTCTTGGGGTGTTGTTTAAAAGAGAGGAGGAGGAATGGGCGTTTTAGAGGGAGGAGCCGGGAAAACTGAGGAAGGGGAGAGGGGAAACATTTTTAGGGAAAAAAGAGGGTGAAAGGGCTGGAGGGAAAAAAGGTAACACCCGATTTTTTACAGGGTTTTTCCCCGGGGATGGTGTTCCGTTCATGGTTCCGCTGCAAATTGTTTTCATGTGGGAAAAAAAATTAAAAAAATTTATACTCCTACCAAGGTTTCACTTAAGATGCACTAGGGATCTACACTTTAAGAGGGAAATGGTTAAACTACCCCTTTAAGATGCGACGGTATTACCAAATTTAAGATGTTTTGGCGCACGGATCTACCCCTATAAAAATTTCACACGGGAAAAATTTTTCACTTTAAAGAGCGCTCGGGGGATTTTAAATTTAAGATGCGCCCCGGGGATCTACACTTTTAAAATGCCCTACGGTTCACAATTAAGATGGAAATACGGGGGTTTTCCTTGTTCAAAGGGTTTAAATTTAAAATGCTTTTGGATTTCCTTTGATGTCGGGGACCCTTTAAAAAATGCGCTACGGTATTTACCCCCTTTTTAAATGGTATTTTTTTGTTTCGGAACTAAATTTTTGGGGGGTTTAATTTTGGTATGGTCAAAATTGGTTTGGAAGGATTTTGTTGGGTTTTTGGCCGGGTATTCCTTTTTTTGGGAATTTTTCACCTTTTAAGGTGCCTTTTGGGGATTACACTTTAAAATGCCTAGGTATTTCACTTTTAAAATGCCCTAAGGTATCTACACTAAAAATGCACTTCCGGGGATTACACTTTAAGATGAGCCCAGGTATCTCACTTTTAAGATGCCTACGGTATCTAAACTTTAAGAGCACTACGGTTTTCTACACTTTAAGGAGAGCTTTTTAAAAGCGCCCACGGTATTTTACACTTTAAGTCGCTACGGTATCTACACTTAAAAGGGCATATGGTATCTTCACTTTAAGTGCCAATTTAAATTTTTTGGGATTCTACAAATTTAAAATGCACTACGGATTTTAACTTTAAAATGCGCTATGGTAAACTAAAATTTAAGATGCGCTACGGTTTTCTAAACTTTAAGAGGGAATACGGTATCTACACTTTAAGATGCACTACGGTATCTACACTTTAAGATGCGCTATGGTATCTACACTTTAAGATGCGCAATGGTATCTACACTTTAAGATGCACTACGGTATCTACACTTTAAGACTACGGTATCTACACTTTAAGATGCGCTACGGTATCTACACTTTAAGATGCGCTTATGGTATCTACACTTTAAGATGCACTACGGTATCTACACTTTAAGATGCGCTACGGTATCTACACTTTAAGATGCGCTATGGTATCTACACTTTAAGATGCGCTACGGTATCTACACTTTAAGATGCACTACGGTATCTACACTTAAGATGCCACTACGGTATCTACACTTTAAGATGTTTAGAGCGCTACGGTATCTACACTTTAAGATGCACTACGGTATCTACACTTTAACGATGCGCTATGGTATCTACACTTTAAGATGCACTACGGTTATCTACACTTTAAGATGCACTACGGTATCTACACTTTAAGATGCGCTATGGTATCTACACTTTAAGATGCGCTACGGGTATCTACACTTTAAGATGCACTACGGTTATCTACACTTTAAGCATTGCACTATGGTATCTACACTTTAAGATGCGCTACGGTATCTACACTTTAAGATACGCTACGGTATCTACACTTTAAGATGCACTATGGTATCTACACTTTAAGATGCGCTATGGTATCTACACTTTAAGATGCGCTATGGTATCTACACTTTAAGATGCACTACGGTATCTACACTTTAAGATGCGCTATGGTATCTACACTTTAAGATGCGCTACGGTATCTACACTTAAGATGCACTACGGTATCTACACTTTTAAGATGCACTACGGTATCTACACTTTAAGATGCGCTATGGTATCTACACTTTAAGATGCGCAATGGTATCTACACTTTAAGATGCACTACGGTATCTACACTTTAAGATGCACTACGGTATCTACACTTTAAGATGCGCTATGGTATCTACACTTTAAGATGCGCTACGGTATCTACACTTTAAGATGCACTACGGTATCTACACTTTAAGATGTTAGAGCGCTACGGTATCTACACTTTAAGATGCACTACGGTATCTACACTTTAAGATGCGCTATGGTATCTACACTTTAAGATGCACTACGGTATCCACACTTTAAGATGCACTACGGTATCTACACTTTAAGATGCGCTATGGTATCTACACTTTAAGATGCGCTATGGTATCTACACTTTAAGATGCACTACGGTATCTACACTTTAAGATGTTAGAGCGCTACGGTATCTACACTTTAAGATGCACTACGGTATCTACACTTTAAGATGCGCTATGGTATCTACACTTTAAGATGCACTACGGTATCTACACTTTAAGATGCACTACGGTATCTACACTTTAAGATGCGCTACGGTATCTACACTTTAAGATGCACTACGGTATCTACACTTTAAGATGCACTACGGTATCTACACTTTAAGATGCACTACGGTATCTACACTTTAAGATGCACTACGGTATCTACACTTTAAGATGCACTACGGTATCTACACTTTAGATGCCAACTACGGATCTAACAATTTAAGATTGCAATACCGGTATCTACACTTAAGATGCACTACGGTACTTAAGATGCACTACGATCTACCTTAAGATGCACTACGGTATCTACACTTTAAGATGCACTACGGTATCTACACTTTAAGATGCGCTACGGTATCTACACTTAAGATGCACTACGGTATCTACACTTTAAGATGCACTACGGTATCTACACTTTAAGATGCACTACGGTATCTACACTTTAAGATGCACTACGGTATCTACACTTTAAGATGCGCTATGGTATCTACACTTTAAGATGCACTACGGTATCTACACTTTAAGATGCGCTACGGTATCTACACTTTAAGATGCGCTTACGGTATCTACACTTTAAGATGCACTACGGTATCTACACTTTAAGATGCACTACGGTATCTACACTTTAAGATGCGCTATGGTATCTACACTTTAAGATGCGCTACGGTATCTACACTTTAAGATGCGCTACGGTATCTACACTTTAAGATGTTAGAGCGCTACGGTATCTACACTTTAAGATGCGCTATGGTATCTACACTTTAAGATGCGCTACGGTATCTACACTTTAAGATGCACTACGGTATCTACACTTTAAGATGCGCTATGGTATCTACACTTTAAGATGCACTACGGTATCTACACTTTAAGATGCACTACGGTATCTACACTTTAAGATGCGCTATGGTATCTACACTTTAAGATGCACTACGGTATCTACACTTTAAGATGCACTACGGTATCTACACTTTAAGATGTTAGAGCGCTACGGTATCTACACTTTAAGATGCACTACGGTATCTACACTTTAAGATGCGCTATGGTATCTACACTTTAAGATGCGCTACGATATCTACACTTTAAGATGCACTACGGTATCTACACTTTAAGATGCACTACGGTATCTACACTTTAAGATGCGCTATGGTATCTACACTTTAAGATGCACTACGGTATCTACACTTTAAGATGCACTATGGTATCTACACTTTAAGATGCACTACGGTATCTACACTTTAAGATGCACTACGGTATCTACACTTTAAGATGCGCTATGGTATCTACACTTTAAGATGCGCTATGGTATCTACACTTTAAGATGCACTACGGTATCTACACTTTAAGATGCACTACGGTATCTACACTTTAAGATGCGCTATGGTATCTACACTTTAAGATGCACTACGGTATCTACACTTTAAGATGTTAGAGCGCTACGGTATCTACACTTTAAGATGCACTACGGTATCTACACTTTAAGATGCACTACGGTATCTACACTTTAAGATGCACTACGGTATCTACACTTTAAGATGCGCTACGGTATCTACACTTTAAGATGCTACAGTTAGAGAACTACGGTATCTATATGTACTCCTCTTTGTGTTCCTTTGTGAGTCGTCTGGTTGCCAGTGGAGGAGAGACATCACGGTAGCCTATACAATTTGATAGACAACAACAACACTAAATACATAGCCAATTCGAAACAGCTTGTAGCTTGGCTAGTTAACTACTTAGCTATCTTTTATTAGCATGGATTAATGTCATTGTCCTAAAAAACCTTCCAGCGGCAGTCGCGAATATCCACGAATGGCCGACACGCACTCATGAACGGGTGCGTTTTTAAACCATGGTGTTTACTCTGCTTGTAAAACATTTTTTTGATCTATCAATATTGGGATTTAAGAAATAAATCTAGCACCATTGGAAAGCTCTTTCTGATAAACATAGAAATATTCTTATAGTAGCATAATTAACAAATACCTCCCATGCAGCCAAAATATCTCCCCTGCCCTGACAACTGAATATTTTAGCCTACATTACAGTATCATAGATGGACATGGCGTAGCTGCCTCGGAGTAGAGCCATAGATGGACATGGCGTAGCTGCCTCGGAGGATAGCCATAGATGGACATGGCGTAGCTGCCTCGGAGGATAGCCATAGATGGACATGGCGTAGCTGCCTCGGAGGATAGCCATAGATGGACATGGCGTAGCTGCCTCGGAGGATAGCCATAGATGGACATGGCGTAGCTGCCTCGGAGGATAGCCATAGATGGACATGGCGTAGCTGCCTCGGAGTAGAGCCATAGATGGACATGGCGTAGCTGCCTCGGAGGATAGCCATAGATGGACATGGCGTAGCTGCCTCGGAGGATAGCCATAGATGGACATGGCGTAGCTGCCTCGGAGGATAGCCATAGATGGACATGGCGTAGCTGCCTCGGAGTAGAGCCATAGATGGACATGGCGTAGCTACCTCGGAGGATAGCCATAGATGGACATGGCGTAGCTGCCTCGGAGGATAGCCATAGATGGACATGGCGTAGCTGCCTCGGAGTAGAGCCATAGATGGACATGGCGTAGCTGCCTCGGAGTAGAGCCATAGATGGACATGGCGTAGCTGCCTCGGAGGATAGCCATAGATGGACATGGCGTAGCTGCCTCGGAGGATAGCCATAGATGGACATGGCGTAGCTGCCTCGGAGGATAGCCATAGATGGACATGGCGTAGCTGCCTCGGAGGATAGCCATAGATGGACATGGCGTAGCTGCCTCGGAGTAGAGCCATAGATGGACATGGCGTAGCTGCCTCGAAGGATAGCCATGTGATTCCTTATTCACTGATTGAGGACATGTGTTTATGCCATGTTTTGGTTGCAGGTCCATGAAATAGGCGATAGCATCTAATATCTCCCTCCAGGAGCGATACTGGGTGTTCACAGCAGATTCTACACATCAGATTCTACACATCAGATTCTACACATCAGATTTCTACACATCAGATTCTACACATCAGATTCTACACATCAGATTCTACACATCAGATTCTACACATCAGTCTCAACAGGACCTGGAGCTGACTCGGCTGTGTTTGAGCAGGGCTGACTCAAAAGCCTGCACCCAGTAGCCTAGCTCTCCAGACGGAGAATTAACCACATGTTCTATACAGTAACAGTGCTGTATATCCCCCCCCCCCCCACCCGTGGTATCGTTATGGTATTGAGTATCATTATACTAAGCTGGTATTGGTATCGAAGTCTAAATTCTGATATTGTGACAATAGTTAGAATGTGTGATCTAGCAGATGATTAGGCCATTGGGGTGGTCAACCCCCATGCTTCAGCCATCTATAGCCTAGCCGCTATGCTACACCAGGCTACAGGAGAAGGCTCAATGCTAAAATAGCATACCTGCCTGATAATATGAGCCATGTAGGCTGTGAACTATAGCCTTTGGTGAAAGAGGCAGACCTAAAAATACTACTTTTTGCCGACATGTTATTGGGCTCCTTTCTGGAGGGGAACATTAGCAGGGTGTGTGGCATGCGCAGACCTCAAAATTTAAAAAAGGTCTTAAGTCTTAAATGTATCTTGGTGAAGCCTGCAGATGATAACCTGTGTTAACACATATTCCATGTGTTTAAGATTAATTGTTATGTGTTGGGTGTAATTTCTCTCCCAGCGTCTGGAGGAGATTATGAAGAGGACACGTCGCTCAGGCCCAGCGGAGAAGGTAGGAACCACTAATACATAATTAACTGGACATGTGCTTTACAAGGAGTAAAATGATCTCACTCTCTCTCGCTCTCTCTCTCTCTCTCTCTAGAAAACCACTCCTCACAAGAACGTAGACGAATCCGGTAACTCCCTACCGATCTGTCCTCTCAGTGGTCAGTTCTGTGACTAGTATATGTTCAGTCCCATATTCACTGTTCTTCTTATAATGAGTATCTCTGTGTGTTTGTGATTGGTTGTCGTTCTTGGTGTTTGTTTGTGATTGGTTATGTGTGTTTTTCTCCAGCGTCGAGCTGTGATTCTCCAGGCCCCTTAGTGAGCATGTCAGGGGCCGAGCACAGCGACAGCAACGGCCATGGAGCCCCCAGCCTCATCACTGACCCCAGCCTCAACACTGACCCCAGCCTCAACACTGACCCCAGCCTCAACACTGACCCCAGCCTCAACACTGACCCCAGCCTCAACACTGACCCCAGCCTCAACACTGACCCCAGCCTCATCACTGACCCCAGCCTCAACACTGACCCCAGCCCTAACACTGACCCCAGCCTCATCACTGACCCCAGCCTCAACACTGACCCCAGCCCTAACACTGACCCCAGCCCTAACACTGACCCCAGCCCTAACACTGACCCCAGCCCTAACACTGACCCCAGCACAGCACTGCTTCCACCTGCTGACGAGAGGTAGGACTACAGGGAGAGGGAGGGAAATATTACTACTAATAATACACTGCAACGAGAAGATTTGATAAAGGACATTCATCTCTCTCTGTCTCTCTCTCTGTCTCTGTCTGTCTGTCTCACACACTCTCTCTCTGTCAGGGAGAACGGGTTGTTTGAGGAAGTGATAGTTCTCCCTGCTGACTCCAGACCTCCTGGTGAAGGAGAGAAGGGGGAGGAGGAGCAGCGTGTAGCTGTCATTGCGTTCCAGGAGAACGGGATCGTAAAACCGCTGAGTGAATGAGTAGACGACCCTCCAACACAACACACAGCAGGTATATAAACATCATCTTCCTCAGTCTTCAGCGTGTCTGTAGACATCATCTTCCTCAGTCTTCAGCGTGTCTGTAGACATCATCTTCCTCAGTCTTCAGCGTGTCTGTAGACATCATCTTCCTCAGTCTTCAGCGTGTCTGTAGACATCATCTTCCTCAGTCTTCAGCGTGTCTGTAGACATCATCTTCCTCAGTCTTCAGCGTGTCTGTAGACATCATCTTCCTCAGTCTTCAGCGTGTCTGTAGACATCATCTTCCTCAGTCTTCAGCGTGTCTGTAGACATCATCTTCCTCAGTCTTCAGCGTGTCTGTAGACATCATCTTCCTCAGTCTTCAGCGTGTCTATCATATTCACATTGCAATGAACCATTTACCCTTCACTAATTCCATCTACACTTTGTATTGTAATTAGATTTTTAAACAGCTATCAGCCTCAATAATGTTTAATACTGACGGGCTTCTCCTCCTTGGTTTACAGATGTTGTCTGGAAAACAGAAGGAGATGGAGGGGAGAGAGATGGAGGTGTAGAAGGAGAAGAGAACATGGACAGGCCTCCTGGTGTCCTGGTTTCTCCCTGAGTTACCACGGTAACAGTGTTACTCTTCCTGTATTCTTCCAGAACCTCCTTCCAACGCTGCCCCCCTCCTCCTCCTCCAAAGATGTCTCACAGCATCTTCTGGCCTGGAAAGAATCTGTTTCCCAACTCAACGCTGTTCTCCACCTCCTATTGAGTATCACCTAAATGAATGTGTTCTGACTGTGACCAGGGGTGGGCCCTGACATTATGTGACTGTCATGGGGTGGGTGGGGTTGGATGTTGAGGAGGTAAAACCCGAGAGGTTTCCACGGGGCTGGAAGGTGTCTGGCCTTTGGTGTGTCATTGACAACAACAACAAAAAATAATGTTTCCTTTCAGTAAACCAGGAATAGTGTGTACACGACTGATTCATGTTTAGTTTGATACTTATTGCTGTAAATATATAATGGGATTGTCCCTCCTGTTGCGTTTCTTCTGTAGAGTTTAAACACATCTCCTTTTTTCTGTTTTTGTTGTTGTTTCTATGACGATGAGATTGAATGATTTAACTGATTTGACCTCCGAACTCAAAAGTCCCGCCCATGTCACATCGTGTCATTTGATTTAATTGTCTCCTCTCTCAAAGCTGCACGTTGTTGACATCCCCTTCAGCCAATCAGCAGGATTTGAAGACCCCCCCCCCCCCCCCCCCCGTAGCGTAGACATCTTCTACTCTTCTGGATATGACTGGACCATCGTGAAGGAAGTGGATGGATAGCCAACAGATGTATTGAATATTGTAACTATCATTGACCCCTGAAATTTCGATGAATTCTAAAATAACCTTATCTGATAGATTTGATGGTCTTATGATCAATATCAAGGGTTTTATTAAATGAAGTTGATGCTGCTGCTACTAATGACGTTCCTTTGCCTTATCAGATCACAGAGAAAGGGGCGGTTCAGAGACTCTCAGATAGTCTACACCATAGAGATACATTCAAAGATGTTCCATTGAATTCTATGGTTTAACACACAGTAAACTAACCACAAGCAGAAGAGACATGCAATTCCCAACATGTCAAAGTGTTTGAGGGGATTCGTTTGAGCGAGGCCAGGCATAGAATCACTCATCTTGATCACATAATAGTTAAAAATATCTTGAATATATATATATATATAGTTATTTGATATGCAAGGAGATTTATAAATCAGTAATGCTGTGAAGTCTGACTGCAATGTAGTTGATCTCAAAGACAGTAAACACAGTCTACACACAGTAAACTCATTCTCATATGCTGCTGTTATTCAGCGCTCGGTTCTCTTAGCTTAGCACTAATGGTTCCATGTTCTGTTAGAACCCTCTGAACTGTCAGCTTAGCACTAATGGTTCCATGTTCTGTTAGAACCCTCTGAACTGTCAGCTTAGCACTAATGGTTCCATGTTCTGTTAGAACCCTCTGAACTGTCAGCTTAGCACTAATGGTTCCATGTTCTGTTAGAACCCTCTGAACTGTCAGCTTAGCACTAATGGTTCCATGTTCTGTTAGAACCCTCTGAACTGTCAGCTTAGCACTAATGGTTCCATGTTCTGTTAGAACCCTCTGAACTGTCAGCTTAGCACTAATGGTTCCATGTTCTGTTAGAACCCTCTGAACTGTCAGCTTAGCACTAATGGTTCCATGTTCTGTTAGAACCCTCTGAACTGTCAGCTTAGCACTAATGGTTCCATGTTCTGTTAGAACCCTCTGAACTGTCAGCTTAGCACTAATGGTTCCATGTTCTGTTAGAACCCTCTGAACTGTCAACGTAGCACTAATGGTTCCATGTTCTGTTAGAACCCTCTGAACTGTCAGCTTAGCACTAATGGTTCCATGTTCTGTTAGAACCCTCTGAACTGTCAGCTTAGCACTAATGGTTCCATGTTCTGTTAGAACCCTCTGAACTGTCAGCTTAGCACTAATGGTTCCATGTTCTGTTAGAACCCTCTGAACTGTCAGCTTAGCACTAATGGTTCCATGTTCTGTTGGAACCCTCTGAACTGTCAGCTTAGCACTAATGGTTCCATGTTCTGTTAGAACCCTCTGAACTGTCAGCTTAGCACTAATGGTTCCATGTTCTGTTGGAACTGTCACACAAACATAAAACATAGATATGGAATGATCTTAGAAATCTGTGACTGGATGTTCCACGGCCGGCCTGCTGTCCTAACCTTTGCAATAGGTGGGGCGGTCCTCACATGGTTGGGACCTTATTGCCCTATCCGTTATGATCTTTAAAAGCACATAGGCATTACTACCGTTGTATCCCAAATGGTACCCTACCCCTACATAGTGTACATTTGGGATGTAGTCTACGTCTCTTTGAAATGAAGGTTTGAAAGGGGTAACTACATGAAGAACATATAAATACATAGATATTATACTATATATTATGTATATATTTTACTAAGACATAAACAGTCCTTCACTGAGAAGGAGGGGGCTGAAAACAGAGTGGGTTCTATACCAGGACTCCTATTGGTTCTGAACCATAGGGTTGGTTCTATACCAGGACTCCTATTGGTTCTGAACCATAGGGTTGGTTCTATACCAGGACTCCTATTGGTTCTGAACCATAGGGTTGGTTCTATACCAGGACTCCTATTGGTTCTGAACCATAGGGTTGGTTCTATAATATAACTCTAAAGGTTCTGAAACTCTAGGGTGGGTCCTGTAAGAGAACCCGTGGTTCTAGGGTTCTTCTGACTCCGTTCCGTGCTCTCGCTCCTGTCTGGCTCCATAGTAACGGCTTGTCAGAGCCTCTGTTCCGTCTGTATAGCATGTCAATAAAACAGATTTTGTCTGGAAGATGAGTTTCTGAGTATTTTTCAGATGTTATTACACGTCTGACCAGCAGAGAGCTGACTATTCCACAGCCCTGTCAAACACCCATCTACTGGTGCAGTCTGGGAGTGGATGAAATGAATGGATACATTTGCTTTGCTGTGAGTGGGAGAGAGTGTGGCGGACGTCTGTGTGTGTGTGTGGAGGGTTACATAGAGCCTGGGTGGTTAGAAGCAGCACAGACCTCTTGATTTGGGCCGGAAGCTCCTCAGTTAGTTAGTGTGATCATCTTTATAGAAGTTATGGTATTAATGATGGATAAGGTCATCCTCTGACACAGTCTGGGAGAGGATAGTGACTGGAGCGAGACAATACATTTGACATTTTAGTCATTTAGCAGACGCTCTTATCCAGAGCGACTTACAGTTTAGTGACCGCATACATTTTTCATACTGCCCCCCCCCCCCCCCCCCCCCCCCCCCCCCCCCCCCCCCCCCCCCCCCCCCCCCCCCCCCCCCCCCCCCCCCCCCAGTGGGAAACGAACCCACAACCCTGGCGTTGCAAGCGCCGTGCTCTACCAACTGAGCTACACGGGAGGAGGGCCAAGTTAGACCTACAGGCAGACAGGGATGTCCCAAATGGCACTAGTGGTCTAAAGTAGTGCACTATATAGGGAATAGGGTGCCAGTTGAGACAGAGAAAGGCCCAAATGAGACTTTAAATGAACCACAACCTTTTAGATGATTGACTTTGTGAAACGACATGCTGCTGCTGTGAGATACCAGGGCCTGGTGGGGTACAACACCGGAAGTTCATTTCATCTTTTCCCTTAATGTTTCCTTAACTTTAGTCAGTTGTGCAAAACATTGTTAATTTCCCCCTTGACAACGTAGGCTAAAACGTGTGAATTTGTTTTAAATAATGTGAAGTATCTACAGGCATTATGAAGGGTTTATGAAGGCTTCATTCAGCTTT